GCCGTTCTTCATGAATAAGACGAAAACAAGGCGACCTCATGGACCATAATCTACTGGTGCTGACGTTTCGAAAGCATGCTTTTTTCCATCATCAAAGTGGTGAGGTAGTCGTTCCTGCTTGTAGTGATTTTTTTGTCCTGCCGATTGTCTCGTATTTTATTCGTGTCTTACGTTGGATCGGCCGATTATTCCCCCCCGAAGACGAAATTGTGATCCTTACCCACGGAGGGGCAAAAGCCAATCCACGACCAGCAGAACGGCCAGGGTGTGGATGTTAGACATGCATATAATACGAGACAAGCGTCACGGCCTAAGAAATCACTGCAAGCAGAAACGACTATCTTGCCACTGTGATGATGGAAACAAGCACGTTTTCGAAACGTCAGCACCAATATAGTGTGGTCCACAAAGACGTCTTGTTTTCTTTTTCACTTCTTTGGAGGATAACAAACGGAATAATTTACCTGGACCTCGTATCTTCAGTCATTTTAAAATTTATACGTATGCACTGCGTTTCAGGCACCGTACCCACGACAGGTTCCATATCCAAAGGAGCCGGCCGGCTGTTCCAATCCAGCCTTCTGTCCCCAACCGGCTCCGAGCCCCATGTATTTTGCCCAACCCCCCAACTATGATCAGGTCGTACAGATGAGTGCGCCTACTCCGGCACCCGTGCCAGTGACGAGCGCAAGTGGATTCCCACAGCCTCCGCAGATTCCCCTACCGACCTCGCCACAACCACCACCACCACAACTAGCAGCACCGCAACCACCACCAGCCCCCGGCGCTGAAGGCGAACAAGAGAAGATGTGAAATTAATACCACTCACACATAAATCACTGTTTGACCCATTCATTGTCGAGTAAAACAGATTGTGTGTGCTCTCTCATTATGAACAAACATTTACTAAAAACAGTATTGCCATGCTTTGTTGTCATTGTAAATTCAAGACCGAAATTCTCATTTACTTTTTAAAAAAAACTTTCTTTAAATGATTTGTTTATTGTTCTGAGCCTTCGAAATCGTACTGGATTCCATTGTCAGAGCAATAGAAATAGTATCAAAGGAGTGGCTGGTTAAAAGGTATGTACAAAACAGTAACAATTTGAACGTGTAGAAATCGATGACTGTCTGAAGTGGACGCCGATTGGCAAGGTGAGCAACGAAAATGGAGCAATCATAAAGGATGCGGACACACTTAACTGTGACGGACGTCCGGTCGTGACTGTACGTAATTGCGCAAGGGTCTGTGCGCTGGCGCCAGTTCTACACATCAGTTGACTGAATTCCTATCAGTGGACCAGGTTTCAATCAATTCTCTGCTCGTCCTGTTTCCGGCGTGGGCGAGTACCTTGACGATCGCGAAGTTGAACTCATGGTCTGTTTCATAGGTACAAGCTGCAACTTGTGATACTTCCTCGCCTCGTCGTACGGCCAACCTGTGTTCATGTATGCGCTATCCGAGCATGCGTTTAGTTTGGCCTGTGTAATTACAAGGACAGCTTAGGCATGGAATGCGATACACTACTCCAGATTGTTCATTCAGCGTTAGTCGGTATTCGACTATTCTTCTACTTTACCGATATAAATACCTGGAAAGTGAACCTTCTTTAATGTTATAAAGATGTTTGTTTAAAAAAGTATGTTGAAGTAACTTCTTAATACATTTTGTCTGATAAGACACAATTTTGTTCTGCTTTGCAGGAGAAGATAGGTCCTAATTCATGTGAATAAGACTATTTCAAACGACAACAATGAGCATATTTTTGCACTTGTAAAAAAGCCAACGAGAATTAAAGTTAAACTGTTGAACATAGCAACACTGAAGAAGGCAAGTAAGACTAGGACGGATATTGCGCACTTATTATTCTTTTTCACCCAACCTCAAACGGGACAGGTTGGTGTGCACCTGGTTGCATTCAGCAATTTTGGATAAGCAATAATGTGCTCTTAAAAAACCTACTAGGAATCGAAATGTAAGTCTTATTTACAGTAGGCGCTGACAATGGCGAAATTTGCAAAAAATCGATACTCACTCGCAAAGCGGCATTAACGAACGTACGACAACTTTAAAGTAAGAATGAAAAACGCTAAGCACATCATTATCTACGTCGTGTGTATATGTTAGTATTTGAAGTAAGTACATTCTTTCGGTGCAGAAAATTGACTTTATTTAGTGTTGTGCGCTAGACTCA